TCTCTCTCTCTCTCTCTCTCTCTCTCTCTCTCTCTCTCTCTCTCTCTCTCTCTCTCGCTCGCTCGCTCGCTCGCTCTCTCTCTCTCTCTCTCCTCGTCTTTTAGGCTGGCGAAGGAAGCGAGACGCCTGGAGGGGGACGTGTCATCGGCCAAACGTGCCCTGCGGGAGAGCCCGTACACCGTGGACTCCCTGCGAGCCGAGGCCGATGCGACTCGACGGCTACTCTCGGAGCGTGCGAGGAAGCAGCGCCTCCTGGCAAAGCAGAAGCAGAAGGCCGCCACTGAAGCTGAAGCGGCCGCCACCGAAGTTGTAGCGGCCGCCACCGCAGGCAGTGAGTCGGGGGACGAGGTGGCGATTGCGCTGGCGGCGATAGTCACCGCTGTGGTGGAGAACGCGGAAGACGAGGAGGTGGAGGAGGGCTTGGAGGTGGAGGGGGCGTTCGATCCGACCCCGGAGCTGCGGTCCAGATTCGCCGACAAGAGCAGCTCCCTACGGTTTGTTACCGCGGACGAGGAGGCGCGGATGCGGAAGGAGGAGCTGGCAAGCGTCTTCGCCGTCCGGGATAAAGAGGCGGCGGCGACGATGGCGGCCGCGGCGGCGACCGAGGAACTGCCGGCGGTGAGGGGAGCGTCAGGGAGCAGCACCGCCGCCGGGGGAGGTGATGGCGACCAAGGTCGGGTAGTGGCGAGCGGGGAAGGCGCGCTCGACGGTGCTGCTATAGCCGCTGACGGCGGCGGCGGCGGCGGCGGCGGCGGCGGCGGCGGCGGCAGCGGCGGCGGAGACGGATCGCCTGCAGCCGGGAGTTCGGCGATGAGACCAGGTGTGTGGTTTGTGGGGGCTGCGTGGAATGTATGGGCGTTAGTTTGTTGTGAGACTCTCTGAGGCGAAGGGGGGGTGATGTTGTTTTTGCCTGAAGCCCCCGATGTGCTGGGTAGACTTGGTGGTTCTCCTTCGGGTTTGATGTAAGTCATGGTTTTGTTTTTTGTGGCCTGAACAAGAAGTAGTGATGTTTGCTCTCACTTCGCGCATCACGCATGTGTTTCACAGCCGTCTCTTGCACGACAGCGGCAGCGTTTTTTTAAGAGTAATTCCCCACATTCCCCACCCATAAAACCCGTTGCGTTAACGGACCCCCCGTCGATGTCAAACGAAACGCAGGCCGCATGAAAGCCTTCGGTGCGGTCCTGGAGAGGACGCTCAGCCAGAACTTGTTCGGGCGGGCGCCCCCCCCCGGTACTACCGCCCCCGCCGCCGCCGCCGCCGCCGCCGCCGCCGCCGCCGCCGCCGCGGGTACCGGGGCGGGCGGGAAGCCGATGCCGAAGAAGGCAACGGCTGACGTTGCTGCCACCGCCCTGACGCCGCCGTGCAAGCCGAAGTCCAAATTCTTCCGGTCCATTGCATCCCCGACCAAGCCGCCGAACGATACCGGCCCGACAAGCCTCCCCCCGCCGCCGCCGCCGCCGCCGCCGCCGGCACCGATGATGGGGGGACTGCTTTCGCAGATCCGGGCCCGCGGTGGAGGAGGCGCCGGCGACGCGATGGGCGGACTTCTGGCCCAGATTCGGGCGGCTGGCAGGGGTGACGCCGACGGTAAGGCCGTGAGCCCCGAGGGTGAGGCATCGTGCGCCGCCGCCCCCCCGCCGCCTCCGCTGACGTTGCCGGTCCCCCAGAGGTCGCTGTTCGCGACCGCGGGTCCGAGCCGCGGTGCCCCCGCCGCCGTTCAGGGTCCCCCGCCGGATTTCTTCGCGCAGGTGAGGGCTAAGGCCGCAGAGAGGCAGGCGTTGCGGCGCGCGGCAGAGGCGGGGTCCTCCAGCTAGAGGGAGTGTACCCTACCTTAATTGGACCTATTGACGCGACGGGAGAGATGTGAATTGGCCTGTTGGTCAGTCTTCGGTGCCCCGCCAAAACTTGGTTGGCGCTTGGATGTCTTTCTGATAGAACCAGAGAAAGCATACCGTCAGGTTAGGGGACACGGCGGAAGGGACGACGTGGGTATCGCCGTCTTGGAGAGTTGCTTAGGCCGGTGTCGTGTGTGGAGCTTCCGCATTGGCTGTGTCTTGTGGAGAGGTGCGGTTGGACCGGAGGCCCCCACGAGACTTGTTTTGCTGTTGTCATCTTGCTCTTCAGGCTGGCAAATAGATGGTACCGGGGGCATGTCGGACGGGAAGCTGTGGGTTCTGCGGCATTTTTTCTGTTCCGGTTGCTAGAGTTTCGATATCTGTTGTGATCCACCATTCCTAGGTGTCTTCCTGTCGTCGGAGCTGCGATGGTATTCGATCTACGCGGGTAACGCCACAGCCTGAGTTTTTGGCAATCGAAGGACCGAGCATTTTTTTTTCCCCCAGAAAAGAAAACGTATGTATTAGCAGCGGCACCACACGGTTGCTCGAGTAAGACCCCACACACCTTCACACCTTACGGTCATATCGGCTGTTGTGGTGTCTAGTCTGCAAACGAAGCCGATCGTGAGGTTAGGCCTTCTATGTCCTGGTTGCAACTCTTCTTTACGTATTCCGCGAGGGAGGCGAACGTCTGCGTTCGAGCGCATCGTATGAAACATGCCATGGAAAACCCCATGGTAGAAGGGCGGCAGTGGCTCTCGGCAACCTCCGGACCCGTTTCTCACACGCACACGCCTTGCAGTATCCCGTCAGACTACATGAGGGTTTATTGCGAAAGCCAGCGGTGTTTCATTTCAGAGAGGAAGCGCTCGTCGTTATTATCGAGGGGGACTGGTGAGGGGGGGGAGTAAACAAACCAACAGGGAGGGGGAGGTATTATATTGTTTCTTGGTGGTAGGTTGGTACTGTGTTTTCTTTTTTTTTGTATTTTTGGTGCCGTTCGTCGTCGTGTTTGTTGTTGGGTGTGCTCTTCTTTCGTGTGCTCCCAGTTTGTCTAAAAATGAATAATAATTCCTGGGTGTCTGACGTAGACTAGATAGCATAGCGCGGGTGCGGTTGTCGCTCGGGGGAGAGAGGACACGCGAGAAACGGAGAGATTGGGGGGGGGGAACTAGAGAGGAAGGACGACAAGTTGAGTTGAAGCAGGAGCGGGGTGTTGCGTTACCCTACCATGCCAATGATACCGGCTTGTGTGTTGTGAGGGAGGCCGTTGACCGAGCGCGCATGCTGTACAGATGAAGCATAATAGAAGTCATTTTTTTTTTTTTCGGTTTGTGTTGCCTGTGTGCTAGATTTTTCTGCCCGCATGCGGGGGGTATCGGGGACGCTTCCGTATGTATCCTCTTGTTTGTGTGTGCAGGAGGTACATCGCTTTGTCACGGGCAACTTGTCAAACTGTTCGCTATTTTCAGGTGGGGTAGGGTAGGGTGCTGTTTCAGTTTCTAGGCAAGCCATGGTTGCGTTGGGTGCGGGGAAGACGTAGTAGCCGTTCTTCACCTATGCAGAGAAGGCCGTGGAACTCCAATAGATGTTTCTGTGTTCCCCGAACATCGAAACTTTGGATACTACTCTGTACCCGCAGGAAGCTGTTGCTGCTGAGAAAACAGTGATCGAGTTACTACGTACGCAAATTCCTCAAGGACTTCGTCGTCCTGATTGTTTTGTGACAAGCTGGGTTGCGGAAAAGATCAGCTTTTGGTTGTCGCGCTACACGCACACACGTCCGTGCGACTCTGATTTTGAGGGATAGAAACAACGCCGTCGGCGGGCCCCACCCTCGTGCTCGTGAAAGTATCGGCCCAAGCTTGTTGTGGGCTTGGGATATCATCGTACAATCTCGTTCAGAGAACCCTGAGACCCTGAGCGCGCAAACATCAGGAGTAGGAGTGCGGCCGACCAAAACTCTTCCGCACCACTACTGCTGGGCACTTTCGCGGCGGTTCTCTTTCATGTTTCAAAATGTAACGTGAGACCGGCCACACGGATGGCGTTGGACCAGTGCAGATGAAATTTGAAGGGCTTTTAACATCAACACCAACCATGAAAACAAATACCGAACATTTTTTTCTCTCCGAATGTTCGCTCTAATGTACGCAATCGATAAACACGGCAACTACTGTACCGACGACGACTTTGGCATCGTCGTTGAACAGCTAGCTCTTCCCATGAAGCTACTATGCACGAAAGAGGTTCGCAAGAGGCACAACCGTACCAATGAGGTCAGCGCTACATGAAGGACACAAACCCAGCACCCATCTTCATTCCGCTCCCGATAAACACACGTACGTCCCAAACCTAACTCGGAAATGTCAGGCTGCATATTGCTCAAGGTATCGACGAATCATGTTGGCGTCGGCAATTCTCCTGCGCCAAACAACACATACACATATAGCCAAGTTCCTCCTCAACTGCAGCAGCAAGGATGCCACAACGTCCTGCCTGCTACCCACAGGGGAGATGTCGCTGTATGTTGCTCGGGAAATCGTACAACTACAGGTAGCTTCCGCTGACGCTATGAATTCATTGCTTGTCTATCTTAGACTCTTCCTATGGATGGATAGAGATGAAATTGTTGTGTCATATTCACGTAGAAGTACAGGTAGCTTCCGCTGACGCTATGAATCCATTGCTTGTCTATCTTAGACTCTTCCTATGGATGGATAGCGATGAAATTGTTGTGTCATAATCATAGAAACAAAAAAAATCCGCCGAAAACGAAACTGTCCGCTGAAAAGGCGACCCCTTATCAATGAACGCTTCTCACAAACTTCGTGTGTCTGAATCACGGGAGAAAAAATAGTGTCCACCTCAAACCAACACGGACGCAATGCGGTGGAACCTCCCCCACGAAGAGAAAAATACTCTCGGACTGTCAATTACCCAACAATGACGTGGCAGCCAGGCCTTTCGTAAAGCAGGCCATCATGTCCACCACCATCATCATCTAACCACGCCTGTCACATCCTATGCGCTTAGCACCCAACCAAGCATTGTTTAGGGCCTTCGAGAACCACTGTTCGTTACAGTATGGCAGTAGCTGCACTGGGACTAAATGTAAACCTTCACGACGGACTCGATAGCGCATCCCAGCATGGTCAATAGCCCGATGTACCCGAACGCCCCCATGTGCCTCTTCTCGGGGTCTCCAGTCTACATACATACAGCAAAGGAACAACAGGGGGGGGGGGGGGGGGGGGGG